ACGCCGTCGAAGGTCCGATTTTCCCTCTTTTATCTACCCCCTTCGCAAACCCTGTTAACCCTTAAATTCCCAGTGTTGCACTGGTGCAACAAGCATTTTAAAAGCGCCTTAAATCTTGTCACTGGTTAATATCTAACTTTTGTCAGCAAGGATCCGTAGTTTCACTGATGTGAAGTAGATCTCCACGTTTACAGTAGAGAAATTCAAGTATTTCCTCGAAAAATAAATAAAAAAAAAGTCTGTTCAAAATCGATATCTTCGATTATAATATAACAAGATATTACAAATTTATTAGTCTCATAATTTTAAAATAACGATTTAATGGTATGGGCGTTAAAGGGTTAACGGATTATAAGGATTCAACTTGGTCCTGATATTTATGTCGATGATTATGACCTTATTATCATTTTTACCGATGAAAGAAAAAGGTCGAGAATTTTATCCCAACGAGTCAGGCTTAATCTGGCGTGTACACATCGACACGCACGAGGTATCACTAGTTCATCGAGGAGATTCGACCGAGAAACAAACACGGAAACTGTTTTCATCGGGGAGAAAAAGTATTTCACGGTGGCCCGTGAATTTACGACATCGTGAGGCATTAATTCGAGCGTCCCGTTCCTTTTCCATTTTCATCCGCGGTTTTTCCACAGCCCCCCTATCCACCCGACCCCCCGATTGCGCCTCCCTTATTTGTTTCGCCGGGACGAATTCATTTGCAAACGCAGCGGAAGTTCGCGATAATGAACACCGAGGAACGTTCTCCCTGTTACGGTCGCTTCTTTAATTCGCAACCACCACCCCGGGATTACTAACCGCGACTATTCTTTGTGTTGAAAAAAAAAAAAAAGAAAAAGAAGAAAACAAGAAGTTGCTCGAAATTAGTCGCCTTGGTTGCACGGGCTCAATCGTCAGTTTTAATATGAAACATGCAGTTCTTGAGATTCCGTTTATCGTGGTCGTCAGACGGAATTTTGTTCCATTAAAAACGAAGAGAGGAGAATATGGAAATTAATATTAGTATCAGGTGAATACAGGGTGTGGAGAAAGTAACTAAATGGAATGATCGTCGATTAATATTCCGTGGAGATGATGCGTGGACAGTTAACGTAGAGGCCTATCCGCGTAGTTAACGCGACTTTACTATACCTCTTTATTCGGATTAAGGGAATTAGACCAATACGAATCGTGGATGGCTCAGGTAGCTTAAATGGTCAAAGCAGTCGTTCCAAGAACGAGAAAATTAAGTTCGTCTTTGGTCTAATAGACAATCATGAAATTTCTGTTCTCCACCGCAACACAGAATTTATCGCGTCCATTAGCGGTAACGTGTGCTTCCCGGTCGGGGGAAACAAGAGTATTAAGGTCAGACGTTAAAAAGTGGCTGGAAAGAAGAGTAGCGGCCACATAGGCCTACTGTGAGAGGCTTTCGCCCGATAATACGTGAAATACGGAAGTCCTCGATAAGTCGTGGTGTATTTAAAGGCTACGGAAAAATAATGGCTGGCCGATGGGCCGCGAACAGTTGGATAGGACTTTACCTATCCATGCCCTACACAGCCGACAGCTGATAGATATTGGAGGAGAGCTTATCGTTGACCTACTCCACTTAGTTATCTAGTATACATCACCGCGGACCAGGGTTGAAAAGTTCGATCGATTATATCTGGTATATTTGCGTGGCGGCTTGTGGCGGCTGGTATATTCGTGGACCACCATAATAATACGATGGAGGGGCTTGGATTACGCGAAATTACGATCAGACTGCGGATTTTATGCACCTACGATACTGGAAATATTTACTGCATCACTATTAACCCTTTCTAACATTAATTATTTTATTTAAACGATAAAAAATATATCTTTGCATGTAGTTATTTGTTAGATGTCAGATTAGCAGGATATTCCAAAATTAGAAATAAATAAATAAATTTGTTTATGAACAAAAATAAATATTGATTAAACAATTCTTAGATTGTATTTTCGAGAATAAAATTTCGCCCAACTACGCTCTGCCACAAAATACTTTATCGGTTGCGTTTTCGAAACGATCAAAACGATCAATCTTCGCCAGTGGGGCAGCGACGTAGTCGTGTTTAAAATATTTCGCGGGAGTTGCGCGGAACCGATGAAGTTATTGAATTATGGGTGAGCTCGATCGATTAATTTATGCGCGCTGTGGTGGCGGTTGATTGAATAAAGATATCACGTTCTTTTCCCTTCTTTTTTTTTTGTCACCACTGTGTAAATATTCTCGTGAAAAAACGTCTTCTGTCTATCTGTCTATGACAAACTTGCGATATTAGCTCTATTAAATAAATATTCATTCAGCAAGGAAGTTTCCACTGTGCACGATTGATATTCACTATTCACTCGATTTTCTTTTTAATTCTTGCAAATTAAAGCGAAGACTAGAGTGTACAGGATGTATCATTTACTTCCAGAATAATATAAAAATATGGAAGAATATGAATATTAATATTAATAAAAAATTTTTATGTGATTTTTGAGATAAATTGAACACCATGTATACAGGTCTTCTGTAATCTTTAATTTGTAGAAATTAAAAGAAAGTCGAGCGGAAATCAACCGTAATAATCAATCGTATACATATAATAATCAGCATAATTAGTAAATCTAGATATATTCATACGAGTTAACAACATTTTTTTTATACCTTTAAATATCTTAAAGGTATATTTATTTCCTTACACCACCTATGTTTTTAAGTGATCATACGAAGACCTTCATCGAATACTTTTATAACTGACCAAATTAAATAGGACACCCTGTATATTCTTGCTTCTGTAAAGTTCCGCCCATTTCCCATCAAAATGGTTAGTTACAGCCGGACGAAAACAGCCCTCTATTACATTTAGCTGGTTGTACTAACTGATATTAATATATTCACAGAGCTGGCCAGATCATCAGGTGTTTTACACCGAGGATATTGCGTTTCGTATTTACTTGGAATACCTTCGAAACGCCGTTGGTGGTTAATAAATCGTGTTCGTACCGTGTAACATTTAATTAGAATGAACCCGGGGCTCCGATAATCGGAACAAAAGCCATATTATTGCGCCCCGAGAATCGCTAACTACACTCTCGACAGGGCGATATTAATATTTTCCATTTCATCGTTTTATACATTTCATCGAATGTTTCGCTGATCACGGTCCAGCGGTTGGATTACTAATCGACGAACATGAACCACCAAAATGTTTCGCGACGGTGGTAACGACACGAATATCGTTTTGATTATTTTTACTTGTATGGGTCACTATAGATCCAGTCGCCTAGTCTGACCGAGTTAACACGTTAAGCGGCATCGTATAAAAAAGATATAGGGTTTTTGGCCACTGTGCAAGAAAATTTCGATTTTTTTTAATTTCGCAGATTCATAGAGATTATCAGGCGATTTTGTTTTGTTTCGACTTTTTGTTTTTTTCAGGGTAAAAACACCCTTAAAACGGTAATATGTGTTTTCCTATTTTCCTATATATCTCGAAAACTGTAGTAGATATAAAAAAATTGTCGCGACGAAAATTTAATGCTTTTTTATGAACTATAAAACTGTGTAATGAAATTGTTTAAAAATTTGTTTATTTATTTATTAATGTATAAACAATAATATTTTTAACAATTTCATTGAATAATTCCATACAGCATAAAAAGTTACTCAATTATTATGCCAACAAGTTTTCTATATTCACTGTAGTTTTCAAGATATACAGGAAAATAGGAAAACGCACTATAGCTTTCAAAAGGTGTCTTCACCCCATAGACCCAAAAAGTAGCAGAAAAGAAAAAATAAAATTTCCTGATTTTATTAAGCTCTCGTGCAAACATGCAAATGTGCAAAGTTTCAAAAAAATCATTATTTTCTGTTTACCAAAGTTCCCTTGTGAGTTTTCGACTGTCAGATATCGTACAAACGCATAAAATCCGCCGTCCACCTTTTAGACGGTAATTCTCTTCACCTGCTACGAAGTTTTCCCCCGCGTTATATTACAAGATATTATCCGAAAATTCTTGGATACAGGTGAAACAGGGTCGACGAGGCGTAAAAATTCCTCAGTCACCGTCGTTGAAGGGTTCTTACGTGGCCTTCCCCGTCGACCCTTCGTAACGCCTTCGCTGAAATTCACGTCACGTCCGCTCGCTTGATTGCTTTCCCGATCCCGTCCGAGGGAAAGAAAAAAAAAAGAATAAAGGATTAATTTTAAATTCTAGTCCGCCGCCATTATTAAATAACGGCGTCCGCGGGAAATATGCGCGACGCGATTCCTCGCGAATAAATCTGGCCCGCTCACCTTTCGTGGCGGCGGTCGGTTACGTTTAAAATATTCCGAAGAAAGGAACTCCAAGATCCATGGAAACGCGAATTTTGTCTTGCGCCGGACGAATCACGGTGATTTCAATGCGTGGCGGGGAAAAAAAGAGAAACTCTTCGACTGTGATGAAGTACAACGAAGTTGTCGAATTATCCATTAACGAAGAGCAATAAAATGTTTTCATATTTCCTTTCGATTGAATAAACAGCTTTAGACCGTTGAAATATGGGACATCGTTAAGACTTCGATGAAACTCGAATTCGATATTAGGTTAACGGGAGGTGATTTTATTAAAAGTATGGAATTTCCGTAATGATTGTGGAAAAAAAAACTGCGATGACCTTGAAATCCTGAAAAATATGACCTTCAGAATAATGTTTTACCTATTACAATATTTACCCCTACGAACCAAATGATGTTTTCCTTCAAACAGATTTTCGTATCATCAAATACAAGTAATATATTCAAGGTGATGTGTTAATCAGGTTATTTTGTTCACCCTTGCCTTGTTGAAATACAGGCACAGTGAGTATTTAAGGAATCGAATAAAATGACGCTGTAGTTCTTGAGTCTTGTCAGGTGTAAAAAAGTCCTCCGTCTAGTCGGAGGAAGATACAGAAAAAGCCAGAAAAAAAAAACGAAAGGTTGTAAGAAACAGAGACGTACCCAGATCCATGAGGTGTTCCTCGCCAAAGTGTCGGGCGGCGTGTACATGAAGAAGCCCGAAAGCGAGCTGCATTCCGGTAGTGAGCAACAGGGCGAGGAAGCCGGCCGCACAGACCAACCACCCCCAGCCGCCATCTGGATAGAAATGCGTCCGCATGCCGGCATCGTCTATGTCTGAATGGAAAGATTGCCCTCTCTTTACGATCGATCGTTAAATCCCCGTCTCGTTCGCCCGCTCGAGCACAACCAGACAGACACGTGGAACCGCGTCTTCGACGAACCCCATCGATTTTCCGAGGCGAACACAAAACAAATTCTTATCGTAGCAATTTTAGCGAAGTGTACACGTGTTTTTCAATGATCAATCGAATTATTTATGCACTGGATTGATGTTTTTTTTTTTTTTTTTTTTTTGGAAAATATATTCGGTTGAAAGTTCATGCGTTTTATTCTAAATAAATTCCATAGTATTGTTTTCATTGAAAGGAATTTATTTAATCAGTGACAGAATTACCATTAGTTTCTATTACTTTTTCCCACGGTTCCGCGAGTTTTTTATACCGTTTTTTACCGTACGATCTTTCCGTTCAACCCAAATACATTGAACTTACGAATTGAACCATCGTTTCGGCCACATCCTCTGTCATAATGTCTAAAATTTTGAAGTTGAACGAATTTCTACAGTCCAACGATGCCTTTTATTTTAAACTAATCTCGTCATTATTATCCAAAAACGATACCAGATTCCCCAGAAGTGAATATATCAAACGCCCCAAAAAGACTGAGCATGCTCGGTAAAACGAATAATAATTTTTAGACTATGAACACTGTACCTGGACGCGGGAATGCCGGCACGCAGCGTGGAAACGTCCACAAATTCCCTAGCATCCAATTATTGTTGTCGGGGATGCTCCCTTCGGACTCCATGTAACGTACCCTGGGATCTGAAAGACAAAGGAAAAAAGGACAGCGATAATAAAAAATATCGACAGGATTCCAGTGTCTGTAAAACAATGTAAAATCGCAAAACAATATGACGGTGGACAATCTTTCCTCGTTTTCTGGTTGAAATGCAAATCGAGACGGGTTGCCGTGGATTAACCCCGTGCGGGGACGGGGGATTACGTTTCGCTGTTTTTGCGTAATTCGACGATATATTTGCGGAACTTAATTACGCCGGGTGAACACGCTGAACACAGACGGCGATCAATGAATTTACGTCGCGGCGGCCTGTTTTCCTGCCGCGGCTAAGCTCCGCGATGGAGATAAATACTGATTGTCCTGAAATCAGCATTATTAAACCGAGTAACGTTGGTCCCTGTTGGTGTATCCCGGATGCTAATTGGAAAAAAGATGTTACGTAAAAAATTACGATCTATTTATGTGAAGTATTTTTCTTTATGTAGAAATTCGTTCGCTGAAGTGTACTCGTTCATTTCCAGTTTGTTCACTGAGCACGGATTTCCTTTTTTGTTATTAGAACAGTCTGCAAATATGGTTCATAGTTCTTCAGTTATAAGTATTTTCCTCGATCGAGTATGTATACTCTTATTCAATCTGAAATGGGATCGCTGTGGCGGTTTCTACTTCTGCGATATACCTATTGCACAAGTCTGACCATGCACGGTCCTTGTACTATTTGTGGAAAAAGATACAGTGATTTACAAATTTTGTTCACGGTTGGCTGACATATTTATTTCAGCAGTTTACGTACCAAACTACGAATCTTATATTAAAATTAAGAAAGTTTATCAAGAAAGCATGTTAAACTCTGCGGATACATGAATAGAAATTACATAAAAATTTGCACACTTAATTATCATTTTAAATAGTATATGAACGAAAACGAGGGTTAATATATGAGTGTGTACTATTTTCTTCCTAAGAGACAATCCCTATTTCTATTTGTCTCATGAGTTCCGATTAGATACCACTTCTCTGACCAGTATTAATTGTATACTACTTGCCTGAGAAATGGTAATCCTGCACTACCTGTCTAATCAATGACAATCATATACTACTCGCTTGGCCAATATCGGTCCTGTACTACGTGGCTGCTCAATGGTAATACTGCACTACTTGCCTTGCCAATAAGTCATTATATCACTTGCCTAAGAAACGACAACAGTATACTACTTGTCTGACAAGTATCAAGAATATACTACTTACCATGCAAATGATAATCCAGTGCTACTTGTCTAGCAAATGACAATATTATACTATTTTCCTGACCAATAACGATGCTATACTAGTCACTCGCCTGATAAATGACCATTCCATAATATTCGTCTGACCAAAGAAAGGACTTATTCTATTCCATAACAAACCTGTCCCTCTCCAGTTACACAATGTATTCGAATCACTTCTTTTGAACTTGCTCTATTTCTTTCGAACAATCGTTCCAGTTCATTCTCAAGAAATCTATCTCGTGTCCTCCCGCTATCTCTCTCCCGCCGAACGAACAATTCGTTCCGGTTCGATGCACGCATAAAAGACCGAGAACATGCCTAGTGGCTCGTCGTCGATACCAGGCCGAGACACACCATCTTCTCCTCCACCGAGGAACACCGGCCGTGGCAGCTGGCAACGCTGCTCGGCCCATCCCCGTGTGCTACAGACGGTTCTGGGGGGAGCAGGGAGGATGAAACGAGTTGAAAGAAACGAAGAGGAAAAAAGGAAGAGTTCGAAGGGTTAGATAAAAGTGCTCATGAAAAGGTGATGCCAGTCACCATCGGACGGTGAGAATCCAAGCGAAGCGGTCTGGGTGGCTCTTGGCAGACGAGGGTCGATGACTTTCAACCGGTGGCTGAGAATCTTTGGTGGCTTCAGAGGAGTGAGAGAGCCCAGATATTTGGTTACTTTCGGCGACGAAAGTAGCTGCAGACGAGAGGATGTCCTCTCTGCAAGCAATCTGAAGCTATATCGATCTCAGTGACTGGCAGGTGTGGACCGTCTGTTTATGAATGGAAAATCTTCGTGAACTTTACTGCTTCGGAAGATTCTGTCCAAGGATAACCGTGAAGCAGCAGGTAGACCTAGATGAAGATGCAGTAGGGGTTAGGACTGACCAAGATCCATCAGGTCACTGTCACTATAAATCAGTTCGATTAGATGAACAGAGATCTGTCTCTCGACAACGTGTACGCTTCGATTGCGCGATTTGCCTGTATGATGGATTGCGTACTTGTCTGAAATATTATCCACTTTCTGGATGGGCAAGAAGACGACAATTAGAAAAGGTAAAGGATAAAGTGGCAGGTCACGAGATTCTAATTGGCGTTTCTGGACTGTGGATTTTAGGCGATTGTCACAATCAGATAGATTCTGAACCCAATAAGATACTCAGAAGTAGAGAAAAATTCCAGCATTGTCTTTATAAATCACTTCAGACACTCTGAATTCCGTGTGAAAATCCACAATCTAGTTGTTTCGTTCTGACATTTGCACTTCATGTTTCGCAGATTTCCCGCCACATTTCGGATAAATTATTCTGTTGCTCTTCCAGCTTCCTCGAGACACTCTCTCAAGCATCCAGGAAGAATTTTTCTCCTCCAAGCAGCGTATAAAATGGCCATTCTCCCCCGTCATCCTTTCCCTAGCGACGACCACAATGGCGCTAGAGAAAAAATTCTCCGTTTCGCAATGGAATTCAATACATATGTACATACATGCACGTTTCCCGACGTGTTCCTCGAACACGTGCGCAGTTTTTCCACGGTGCGTGAAACAATTTTTTAACGCCCACGCCCCCGGCGAAAAAAGAGAAAATCGGTGAAAAGCGGAGACGCGCGCGTGGCGTCAAAGCGACGCCGGGAAAATACGGGGCGACGTGAATTTTTAATTTTCTTTCGTTTCTTTTTTTCGCCTCGTCCCGCGACTAAACACGACCTTTCCTTCGTCCCCACGGTTAATTACAACGCGTGATACCGCGGTCGGGAAGTGGTTATTCGAAAAAGGCAAACTTCCGGCTCGGAAAAAGAACTCGTCCAGGACGAAGGTGGTGTCTCATCCCGATTCGAGGGAGAATTTTCGCGGTCTTGCGGTTTCGTTTCTGTTACGACAATATTTTCTCGGTTCGACGTCGGAGATCTTTATGGCCTAATGATCCATCGTGCAGGTTCATGATTCATGAGTATCGGCGGTAAACGGATTTAAACGTGGAGGCAGGGAATCGGTACATATTCTTGCAATTCTTCTGTTTCTCGGTATTTTTTTTTACAGGATTCGAAACATTTAGCTATCATGAGGTTTATTTATTGTACACGGTGGATCAGTAAGTTTGGCCATCTGGAAAATGAAGAATTTGGTCAGGCAAATGTCCTTGAATCATAAAAAAAATATTGTCTTCATCGCTGAATAAAGAATTTGGTGACAGTGTCTGATTAGGGATTGTCGACGACGTGGCCATCCGAATGCTATAAAACTGTTCCATCTAAAAAAGGACTCAGTAGATTTTTAAAAAGATTAAGTAGATTAGTAATTTTGCAAGCATTAACTCTCCTATTCCTATCATGCAACGAGAAACTGAATATTTTTTACACGATCATGGGTCACGATCGACCGAGTGTTCACGAACAATGGCTGGATGTACTGAGAAAAGAAGAAAGGGGAAACATCTTTTCAGTGATGGTAAATTATTGAAAGAGTAATTATTCTTAATTACCAAGAGGTAGCGAGAAGAGAATGAGGGAAATAAATCGACCGAAACTGGATCGCGCCGCGTGAAAAATGAATTGAAAGGATGGGAGCCACCACTGCATCAGAAGGGGGCCGTTGGAAAGATGGCCGACCTTTAGGACAGGCGAAATTGCCGCGAGGAAGAAATTATGACAGTTTTTCGGAGGCGCGGCGTGACGCTGATGCGCTCGTAAATAATTCGTCTCGCGTGAAACTGTCCGTAGCATTGTTTCGTATCTTTCGAGAGGGAACGAAGATGGACGAAAGCAATTCCGTTTCCGTTCTTCTGGCCTGGTGGATTCAAATATTCAAGAGGTCCCGAATGGCAAAAGAAAACCGCAGGATCATGAAAAGGCAAGTGTTTCAACGTAATTTCTCTGTTTCTAACCTAGTTTGTATTAGGTGTACCAATAAGTAATTCACTATTATTCTAATATTCACTATTATCACTATTATTCTAATGTGAATCAATTTTGAGGGCTTCCAAAATGTATGAAAACACAGAATTCCAAGAATTAGTTGACGAAAACTGAGCTCAATGCACTTCAGAACCTTCCAGGGTATTGAATGTTGACTGATCATCGGTCACGAAACGTTTACATGCCATGGGAAAAATTCCAAAAGGAGGAAAATGGCGTAAAGTGATTCTCTTGCATGACAATGGTCGTCCACACTTTGCTTTTAGTCGTGGATCAAGCGTTGTAGTAGTTCGTCTGGGAAGTCTTTCCAACACCTCAGCAACAGCAAACAATTTTCATATTTGTGTACAATTAATAGGATATAAAAACCGTAATGTGTATGTTCCTCGATGTATACATTTGTACTGCTGCAGTGAAAAAGAATCGAGGAAACAAATACGGAAAAGCGATCGGCAAACTGGCTGTCCGTTGCGCTCGAAACGAATTTCCCCGGGGCTAGGGAAGAGAGGAGTTGGGTTTGGCGGCTCAGTAAATCGAGCGATAAATACAAAACTTTCCCCCATCGAGGCCGGATATTTCGTCGGGGATCGCGCGAACGCGATCATCTACATAATAGAAACAAGCTGGGAGTAATGCCACGAACGAATTCGAAATCCAGCCGGGTGATCGAATCCAATAAAATACGATCAATCGAAAGAACTATATCGTCGATCGAGATTTTGCATTTTATCGAAAAAAAAAACCGAAAAAAAATGTACTCTTGTCGTTTCGACGTTCCATACGATTTACGCACCCCCATCGACGACCGAACTTGTAAATTACACGTCGAATTAACGGTATATCAGTGTGCACCCTCTTGTATGTCAACAATCGATCACTTACGCTGTCAATCTATTTCACGTTCTACTACTGAACTTCCTGCCAACCTGTTGTCAAGTTCCAGCTATTCTACTAGAAATTTACTGGCAACTTACTGGCAACTTATTGTCAACTTACTGCCAACCAACTTCCAACCTACTGCCAACCTACTGCAAACTTATTGTCACCTCACTACCAACTTACCACCAACTTACTACCAACTTACTGTCAACCTACTGTCAACTTACAGTCACCTTACTGTCACTTTACTGTTACCTTATTGTCAACTTACTGTCAACTTACAATCAACATACAGTCAACTTACAGTCAACTTATTGTCAACTTACTGATCGTAAGATTAAGTTCCGGGTCTAGATCGATTCAGCTACCGCCAACCACGGTATCGTGTTCCAAGGATTAAAAATCAGACGAAGACGGGAACGCTCACGGATACCAAGATCGTTCAACCGGGACTTGATAAATGGAAGAACAATGAGCAAAAAAATTCCAACGAGACCCGACAAGGGGGTGGGGACTGGGTGTGGTGCTAAAGTAGTTCACTGGTTCAGTGATTCAGAAGTGGATCGCAGCACCGTTTCGTCGGTGGTAGTCCGCCGTTCCGACTCGGGGAAAAATCAGCGTCGGATGTCATCAACAGCCTCGTGCCTTCATTCTGTAGGGGAGGGGATTGCAATCCGCTCGAACAAACACGCTCGCGTTTCTCCTCTTCCTTCACCACTGATCGTGTTGGGGCAACCGTAATCCGGCTGTGGCCTCGTCGGGTAATACATCCTCGCGTGGTATCCGATTTATTTGAAAGTTTACCACGGGGTTCGAACCGCGAAACTTCTCTCCCGAGCAGGATAACGGTCTCGCTGCTTCCTCCCTTACTATTCTGTCCCCGCTATCGTGAATCCGTTTGGCCGAGTCCATTGTACGATAATAGTCGAGCAAAGATAGCACTGGGCATGTGGTGATAGATTTATCGTGTTTCCGTTGTCGAATTGCCTGTAGGAACTGGTACTGGGTCGATTTTAACCCATTGTGAATTTTTGTTGATTAAATTACTTTTCTTATTGGTATGCAAACATGGAGACGTACTGTGAGATCATGCTGTGGGTCAAGATTGACTCAACCGGGTGTTCTCACGGCTCGTATTCTGAAGGTTGTACATAGACTTGTTTCAAGGTCAAGATAAATTAGTAAAATAAGTTTTTCTTTAGAACTGACGAAACATTTCATATCGTGGAGAAGAAAGTGACATTTATTTATTCCTATTTCATTTGAAAACGAAGGTAACATAAAGAAGTTCGAAATGGTTTAGAGTCAAGAATGATAAACGTAGGTTAATTTTCCCAGCTATCCAGTAATTAAGAACTCGCTAACTATCCTCAGATCTTTCGACGAAACAAACTCGTTGGTTCGAGATCCGGTTCGTTAGAAAGCCAGCTTGATACCTCGAAGCTTCTATTTTAACTTTGGAGAAAGCACATGGTTCCGAGATTCTATTAATTTTCTTTCCCTTTCTGCTGCTTAGTGTTATCGTTGCACCGGGACCACCACATGGTCTTTTTTAAACAATACAAAGGCTGGCTTCTATTCACCGAGCTCCCGGCTGTTCAAGCCTGTTCTTCCTTTCTTCTGCATCGACAAAGGATGGACTTAATAAATTGTGCTACAATGGGAACGACCAGCCAGAAGACAGGAGAACGAAAATCAATTCCACTCCACCGAACTTATTGTCTGTCGTCGAAGGGATCACCTTAAATGATGAATTTCTCTACGAACTTTCATCCCCTTCCAATCTCTCAATCTTAAGGCAAAAACTACCACTCCCCATTAGGCGATTCGATAACTTTTGTCTTTCAACATTTCATTCTATAGAATGGAAAAACTTGTACTTTAATACAAAGCTCATGTAACATTGGGCCCCATAGACCTTACCCACTGTCCTCTCGGATAAGTTTTGTGATTAGTGATTGTTCTAACTGGTCAATTATAACATAAGGCCTCACAGAGATACCAACATCCTCCATCACGAGATATGGTTTCAATTGCCTTGACTGTTCCATCAGTCATGGCATTAGGCCTTATCCATTATATTTCTCGTCCAAATTTTATGGTTAAAAATATTTAATAGTTTAAAAATTTATAGTCAAATATTTTATAGTTTAAACGCCTTGGATCTTTAATCATAATGCTCGATCTCACATAGCACGTTCATGTTATGCTCAGACCACGCTGCGTTGCCTCATCAACAACAACAAAAGGTATTCCAGACAGTCACGAATGTCTTGAGTCACCCACCGTCACCCGAGCGTTGCTGTTCAACGTTTACGCTGAACAAAGGGATTGTATGTTTGTAATTTAACAGACAGTGCCACTTCGTTGTGCTATACATCCGGACGGGTCTTGAATATTGAACGAAGTAAGGAAACTCGACACAGAAGCGGATTAGGCCAGTCACTTAGCGAGCAGCGCACAGCCGCGAGAGAACGAAAACAGGGGTATCCGAGATTAGGGGGCAAGTTTACTGCGCGGAGGACCGAAAGGATGGCGGCAGGACGGTGGGTTATTGTTGTCGCGGCTTTACGAGAAAAGTTACGCAATATGGCTGGGAAAGATGTCCCTGACGACGGTTCGAATGAAAATGCAAAACAGGTTGTTGTCTTACAAGTTAAATCAAACGCCGACGAGATTATGGAAAATCATACAGAGACGTGGAAGTTTTCCGGAAAAAATCAATTTTCGTGAAGGATCAGTAATTGAAATGATCCCTCTTCTCTTAAGGGTATACGAGTACTTGAATTATTAGAGTACTCGAATTTCGAGTGAAACGATGACCGTCGAGCCAAGTCGAGCGTTTGAATATTTCAAGCTACTTGAAATCGACGAACTGTTTGAAAAAATTCGATTTACTTGAAAAAACCAAAACGGCTGGAATATCTCTCGTAAGACCTTAATTTACTTGGAGACGAATTTTCAGCTCGACGATTTTCGAATTACTCGAATATTAATAATTCTGTAGACATTAAACTCAAACCCAGACTCAAATACATTTTGTTCACACCAATGTCTAAAGCTAGAACTAAATACTATGAATCTGAAACTCAAATAGATCTCGTTTAAATTACTTTCCAACTCGTGAAACTTAATTCTGTGAACCTTGAACTCAAACACATCTCATTTACATACGATTTCTAGCGGCTACAACTCACGTCACGCGGATTTCAAACTAAAATTACACGTCGCATCCACGAATTACCCATGAATTATACGAGCAAACCCGACTGACTTTCCGATCTAGAGAACGAAAGAGATCGATTTTCCCCAAGATCCAAGGCATAAACCACCCCTTTAGAGGACAAGATACTCGGTTCCCCCGGAACCGATTTCTCTTACAAACGAGCTTCCCCGAGATCTCTCATTTTCCGGGCTCGTCGCTGATTTATACTAATTGAAAAAAATGACCGTAACTCACCGCCGTGATAAGAGCTCCCCCGATGGGGTATGTAGACGTTGCTCCGTGGCTCGCGGCAGTGGCTCGGCGTGTAGTACTGCATAGGATGGTGAATGTAATTGTTCGGTGTGCTCGGCACGTGTACCGGGTGGCAGTGCATGCATCTTCGCGGCGTATCCGGCATACCCTGTGGTAGGAAACAAAGAAGAAATTTCCTGCGAATGCATCAAAGAGAAAGGGAGAAAGCCAAAACAGTAGTGGCCGAGATGTGGTCACGTGGTGCACGTTGAATTCGCGCCCCTTGGCAAGTAAATGGGGGAGGAGGGGTGGAAGTTTCACGAATGGAATACCGATTAGACCAACTACCGAGAGTAATTCCCGTGGGTCTGATTAACGGGGCTCGCCTTTCCACCGTGATGAATGGAAACTGTAAGCGAACATTGATTTCGTCGACTGAAAATTCAATCTCCGTACACGGTTGGTCGACGCACTTTCTGTCGTTCACGGTTCATTTGCGCGACACGGTTATTTGTATCGTAGAAAGTCGAAGTCGAAAACAATAACCGGTATATAGGAAAATGGGATGAAATAATAAAATATCCTCGGAATACGGCAGGCTGAAGCCTGTGACTGGGTCAATTGTGATCCGTAATAAGATTTTACAGCATACCAGCGTATAATGCGCTGTGTGTGTGCTGTGTTTGTCGATGGGTCATCTTTGACCCAACCGTAGGTTTTCGAGGGTTGAATGTGGAGTTGCTTCTTCGAAGACACTCTAACAACACGACTGTCAATTCCACGAGAGAATTCATTATACATAAGTCGTGATTAGTGGTGGGACCACGAACAAATGGCCCAAACATGTTTGGACATTATCAAACACAAGATATTCGAACAGTTCGAACAGTGTTCGGTCGTTTCAAACATTTCAAACATTTCAAACGTTCAGAACAGTTCAAACATTTAAAACGTTACAAACAGTTCAAACATATCGAATAATTCAAAAGTTTTAAAATTTGCGAATGTTTCGAACGCTTCAAACAATTCAAACGTTTCGGATAATTCAAAAGTTTCAAACATTTCAAATAAAAGCTCAATCGTTTCGAACAATTGAACCGTTTCGAACGCTTCAAATAGTGTAAACGTTTCGAATAGTTCCAACATGTCCACACTGTTCAAACTGTTTAAACATTTCGTCAGTATTTCGAACAGGTTTGAACAGACTCATCACTAGTCGTGATGCTCGCAGTGTGTACAACGATCCCGTTGGATAGATGCTCGCTCGTCTACCAAAAAATGGGTTCCATGGTCTGACTCGACAGAAGGGTTGGCGGGAGGAGGGAGGGGGTGTACTTCGTCCGTTAATAGCGCGTCTTACGAAAGAACAGGCTTGGTTCGTGAGTAAAACGAGAGAAGAGCCAACGGTTTTTCTTACCTGCATAGAATGCTGGGATCGCAGCGATCTTATCGAGCCGGTGGGGTGCAAAGAAGGCACGCTGCCCCCGAAGCTCATCGCGGAGTTTCTACATCCGCCTGGGGTGGACCAACCACCGCGGACGCTGGCCGAGGTCCACCCCATCCCGCTGCCGCGATCGTCGATCAGCATTTTCACGGCTGACCCGGCATCTCACTCCCGATCGTTCGTCGTTTTCCCTCACGCGGTGACCGTTTGATGAGTGGCTGTCGATATCGAACGCTCAGAGATTTTCATTTGATTCGTCGTGGATCCGGGAACCACGTGATCCAGAGGGGTGCACCTTGCCCGGGTGTGGTCATCCTGCGAAGGGGGTAGTTTAGATTCAGGTAGCTGGAACAGAAAAAAAAGAGTGCTATAGATTTCAATTTCGGAGGGACTGAAATTATAGATTTTCAGGAGCCTGATGTGAGGCAGGTTTTGGATAACAAAAGGTGAGTTTTTTAGGGGCCCTAATGCAAGATTTTCGAGGGTATGATGTCAGACATATTCGAGACCTTAACCCAAGAAATTGTCGATGGTCTAACGCGAGAGATTTTCAAACATATGACGCAAAAAACTTTCGAGGACCTGTCACAAGATAATTAAGGGCCTGACACGAGAGATTTTTTAAGGATTTATGCGAAAAATTGATGAGAACCTTTTATAAGGTTTATTTGAACTTAAGAGATTTTAGATGCCTGAAAGTACGTAAGCGATTTCGAAAGATCAAAATGAGAAATTCTCCAGGCATTGGGATAAGAGGCTTGCGCAAGTTTGAAAATCACTCAAGTAGCAAGCACCACAAGAAAATAATTCAATGTCGTGCAACTAAATTAGTTCACGTCATGTTTACCCTAATTTGTTCGAACAAAAAGAATCTCAGCTGGCAAAAAGCGGAGCCGGTTCATCGGGAGCATGCCAAGTTTTCGTGAGCATCGTACGTCTTGCGGCTGCTTGTGCTGCATTGGTATGCAGCAACGAGCACCGCACTATTTTCCAAAATACCTTCAATAATGCTGTGCATGCAGAGTATACTCTGTACACGAACGATGGTGTTAATTGGAACGTCATACGGACTAACAAAGACTGCTTCTACGAGAAATAAATACAAACCTAAAAAAGTACTTTGAAATGTAGTTGTAGCTGTGTCGCTTCGGTTCTCAAACTTGATTTAATCTCACTTACAAAAATTTCTAACCCGTGGAATTCAGTTCTGTGGACCTTAAACTCAAATACATCGTTTTCACATGGATTTCTGATACGTAGAACTTAATTCTCTGTACCTTAAACTCCAATGTATCACATTTACATCGATTTCTAACGTATAGAATATATTTCCGTAGTCCTTAAACTCACATACATCTCCTTTCCATCGATTTCGAACGCGTAGAACTCAGTTCCCCAGACATCAAGCCCAAATACATCTCATTCGCACGGATTTCCACGGTCTAAAACTCAGTTCCGCGGTTTTCAAGCTCAAATACATCTCATTCGCGCGAATCTCCGAAACGCTTCGAATTTATCACCGTGGATTTCTCCGCCGCGTACAATTCATTTCCGCAGATTTTCACCACGACGATGGAATCGATTTCAGCGGATCACCCAACGCACTGACTGCCCATTTCGATGGATCCTGAGAACGCACGGTAGCCCGACAGGTATTCGATATGAAACTTTTTCCTCGAGGTAGATTTTTCACCATAGAAGAATCGGATAACAATGGGGGGATGAGGATCGACCAACGTTAACTGGACTATGCTGTACACACGATTCCCAGCGGTAGATAATCTGTATTTCAGGGAATTTACGATTTCCTGCCGTTGATCCGTTGACCGGTTCTGCTCCAGAACACAGAAACACACGCACACACAGAGGCACAGCGGGGCTCGGTCGCGAGCCACGTCCGCCCCAAGTTTCCGCAATAAGGAGGAACGGCCCGGAAACAAATGGCGGATTTGTATTCGCCGGCGGCGTTCAACGTATATTTCAACTTTACCAGCCGAGGCGAAAGGGGTGAGGGAGGGGATCCCCACGTATAACGGCCGCAAAAAAACACAGAAACAGTAAATCTTTGCTAAAACACTGGTTAATCGAGACACTTGTCCGTGGAACGTTATTCTAACGCGACTCGCGAACCGAAAGTTTGCATCCTTCGTGAGAAAAACCGGCCATAGCTGAATATGTGCTCCACCGATATCAGACATTTTTTTTATTTCAATGAAAATACTGGAAGGTTTGTAAATTCGTACAAATAGTAACTGACAGATATAGTAAGTGGTACAAGCAGTAAGTAGTATAAGCAATACTTAGTACGTAAATTATTGGACGTACATTTGGCATATTTCTTTACGTTTTTTTTTTTTTCAAAGTACGAAGTTTATATTTCACTTTATTTGAACAATTACGGACACATGTGATAAAAGAAAATATACGTATTATCCAATCCCTGATTAATTGCTTCGATTCTCATCCCACACAGACACGTATCTATATTTTAAGGAAATATCATTTTAACCACCTGGTCTTCAGGTAACCGTCGTCCCCCCGCACTGGAAGTTCAAGTCTGACGAAGTAGTTGAATCCTTATGTAAATTCTAAAGGATTGTCTTCTCCAAACTTCAGGTCTTTGAAATCTTAAGTGTTATTAAGTCTCCTTTATGTAACTAAATATTCGTACTTACATCAGACTTGCAGTAATCAAAGTTTAAAATTCAATAAATCCTCCCCTATGCGAAACATTAACCAGTTCATGGATTAAAGTAAAATCACTGAACGGAAATTTTGTAAATTCTCTCTGGAATAACGGAACAACCGTGATTGCTCGATATATAATTTCAAATAGACTTCATACCAACGATTTTAGATTGACTCGTGGACTCGTCTGTAATGAAGTCACTGAAGAAGTGTCATTCAAGAAGTGACCCTTCAACGGGAACGAAACATCCCCTCGATCATCGTCCGTATCATCCTCACAAAAGGGAGGCCCGTCCCTTCTCCCAACAAAAACCGCAAAAAAAAAAAGAAACCACTCCGCGCACCCCTTCAAGATCCTCCACGACCCCGGGGTTCGTCTCAAAGCAACCCCCTGAAGACCCCGCAGGCCCTGTCAATCTCCCTTGGATGCACGCGTTCAACAAACCCCCGGTGCACCCTATATATGTATATACAAGGTGATACGCAGCTTTCTGTGCACGCTGTTTACCTATCCCGATGAGAGTGCTACTCTGAGTGTCCGGAAAGTCAAGTACACTTTTGTACAAAAGGATACACGTGATGGTTTCACAAGATTCGAATATTTCATCCTCGTAAGACTCGAGTGTCACGTGTCTCTTTTATTTCTGGGTAACGAATGGGGCTCGAATACTAGGGAGTCTTTTGGAAAGTCAAGTGAACTTTTATGGAAATTATAGTATTTGTAACGATTAGAGGTGCGGAATTTTATGAATGAAATCATGATTTCATTTCAATCGAAACCAATTCGAAATTCTTCGAATTTCGCGAAACAATCTTGTTAACAGGACGAAGGAAAAACTTGTTTCAAATCACCTCGGGAATCACTCTTTTCATGGACTTTCACCTATCTTGGGACACCCTGTATATAAATAAAAAAAAAAACTATTAAAAAATCTTTAAAAAAAATCGTTTATACTCTCCATAAATATATTAATCAACAGACAACACTTTATTCATGTTGACCATTTCGTTTACTGAAAAAAAAAATTCAAAAAAATTACAATTTTCAGGGTTTCACAGTGGCAAGACCACTTAAACCTAAAGTACCTTAACCACCCTAATCCACAACATCCTGCCAGTAACCATAAGTACAAATCCGCAATGGACAACTGCTCAGCGACTTCCTGAAGTACCATGACAACAGATCTCCAATCGTTTCTTACCGAGCACCCGGTATATACAGCATCGGGGCCGCGTTCATTTCACGAAGCGTTAGCTTAGAAGTCGAGTATTGGGGTAGTCTGCCGCGTCGAGACGCGGCAAAAGATGCGAGTTGACAGAGGCTACGGACTTCCGATCGTGGCTGGAGAAAAGGCGCGATTGGCCGCCGATGTGAGGGACGAGGGGGATAATCCAGCTAGATTGAATCCAGCGTCGTGAAGCCGTGGAACGAGACGCGCTCGCGTGTTAGTGTGAAACCGGACGATGATCGTGTGTAACGGTGGGACACTGTATGAAAACATTCCTCGACGGTCGTACAGGGACTGCGAGCACAGAGGACAAAGCGCATCATCGTTATCTACCCTCACTGTCCCTGTCCCCAACCCTCTCGAAGCTGGGCCAGAGTGTCGGACAGGATGTTCGGTCGCGAGAGGGGCACGTACTACACGAAGCCTTCGATCCACTTACGTTTTTGCCTTCTATCAACGTACGTGCGTGTTTGCCGTCGATCTACTTGGGTTTTTACATTCGATCTATTTCGGTTTTTACCTTCTATCTACTTGGGTTTTTGCCTTCTATATGTTTGGGCTTTTGCCCTCTATCTATTTGGGCTTTTATCTTCCATCTACTTGAGCTTTTATCTTCTATCTACTTGAGTTTTTGTCATCTATCTATTTGGGCTTTTGCCTTCTATCTATTTGGGCTTTTGTCCTCTATTTATTTGGGCTTCTGTCTTCTATCTACTTGGGTTTTTGCCTTCTATCCGTTTGCCCTCTATCATTCACTTCAGTGAAACGTTCTTACGTCCTTAATTATATATTAAAAAAGAGACGAAACAGAGATAATTCAAGAACGTAAAATTTGAAAACACGTACTTCTTTTGTCAATTAAAGTACGCTAACCTGGAGAGTTACACATTTGTGACGTCTTGAAGCGAACACGTGTTAATGACTATGTTCAACGGAAAAACTGCTACCTTTCGTATGCACCTAATACCTGGGAGATAGAGGTGGCCGTTTAATATAACTTCGTGAAGCTTTTGCTTGCTTTGCTGGTGATAAAATTTGGATAAAGTCGGATTATCTTCCGATTGAAGTCAGAATCCCAGAAGCGCACTATCAGCGCTGATGCTACCAAGTTAGTCCCGGGGCATCCTCTTCTATTTTACCGTTCGTGAATCCCTCCGAAACTCCAGAAATAAAAGAGATTCGATTTCAATTTCTTCTTTCGAATCGAATCGAACGCCGGCTTAACGAGCGTTTCCCCTTTTTTCACGGCTTAAAGGCGTTTTCCATATGCTCGCGAATAATAATTAACCGGAACGGCGAACGGGAG